TTCAAGTTTGATAATAGATAAATTTAAAAAGCTAATAGCATAAAATGGATTCTACTGAACGAAAATTTACCATGTTGTATATGTATGTAAGATGGAGATAATACATGCGGGAGCGGCGTCTTCTTAAACATATCCATAAATTATTTGATTTTTAAAAATAGTCGGCTATAAACTACAGTAACTAGTTCCTTTCAAATATCTATTCTATTGAAAAATAATAAATTAATAAAATTAATTTTGAAGCATTAGAATTTTATTTATGCGTGTAGAAATATTTTTGTTTTTCAGCATTGATCAAATTAATTGTTGTTTAAAGCAATTAAAAATTTACATGGTTACTACATAAAAGTTTGTTTATTTTTTTCACATCAGCCATCGGACATGAAAAATTATAAGATGTGAAAGTTTTTAATTACAACTTTTATTTATATAAAAAGCTTTGCAACTATTTAGTATTTTCGTGAAATCGTGTCTGCGCCCCGTGTAAATAATTATGAACTCAGATAATATTATGTTGGTGCAACTATATAATCGCATCCTCAATATTATGATAAAAATGTAAGCTTTTTTTGAATATCCTTCAAACTTTTAAAAGTTGGTGAATACTTGGTTAACATAATCTCAGTTTTTATTTTTATTTCTTGTTATTTACAAAGTACAAACCATACAATACTGTTCATTACATCACCAAATGTACCTACCTAGTACCTATAAGTAATGGAAAAATAAGACATTCTAACAACAATTAATAAAACTGAATCATTAAAGTTAATTTTAAAAAATAAATTTATTTGCTTTTATTTTTATTATTTGATTATTTGATTATAAAAAATTATGGTGTGGGACAGGGGTGTCCAACCTTTTGTGAAGTCTGGGCTACATCATATGGGCAAAAGTTGTTGTGGGCAGCATAGTTTTTAATAATAATAACTTAGATATACAATGTTTTATTTTTATTTGTTGATAAATGACATGAGATCTATGTCGTGGACATATCTCCAATAATAAAATATTTTATCAAAATCGGCTCGAGTTGATCCACTAATCACTCGTATAATTAATGTGTGCCAGTGCTATTATGCTAAGATAAAAGTATTAAACACTATTAAAGTTTATTTGATGTTTAATATTATGTAGTTTTATATTCTTATGATAAATTTGTTTTCATAATATTAATATATTATATACAATTAAATAATAGTTTTTAAATTGAAGTGAGGGCCGCATCAATATCTACCATTGGCCGCATGCGATTCGCGGGCAGCGGGTTGGATATCCTGGTGTAGGACATAGGTACTAAGGTACCTATAAATATAATATATATATATATGTAGGTAATAATAATATACATAATAATTATATAAATACGAATAAGATATTGAAAAATCAATATATTTATTTTTGTTTAGTATTAGTATCAGTAGTGATGAACAGATTTGTTTAAAACAAATATACAATTTATGCTTTTATTTAATTAAATATTTGTTTCATTGATACTGATGTAAGAAAATAAAATTAGACGGTAAGTTGCGTACTTCTGTAAGATTAGGTCTTTTTTACAGGCGATTCTTTTAACAGCAATCTCAAATTTCACCTTTTTATTTACAAAACAACAGTTTTTTAAAGAACTATAGTATGTACCTAGTTGGCTAATAATTTTATATATGACGATAAAAATTATTGCTATTGTCATAAATAAAATAGTGTGCTGAAATCATTTCAATTAATATTGAATCTTTTTTTTTGTTTTGTTTTGTTCAACTTTCTTAACAATTTTTGAGCGAAAAAATAAAAACGTAATAATTATCAATATTTTTGTAAAATAAAATTTATAAATTAATACCTCGTCTTTTGGTACACCTATTACAATACTAATTTATAATAATTATTTGAACAAACTATACAATTTAGTCAATTTAGATGAACTTGATTTATTTCAAACTACAAAAAAAATTATACAAACATATAATTAGAAAATCGTCACATCGATGATACAATTTTACATCTGTAATAAACAATTTATAAACTTTTAATGAAATCTCAACTTATTAGTATGATATGAATATAATATGATTGATGGTTTGTCGTATGCGATAATTGCAGCGTTTAAATAGAAAATAATATATTCCACTTACCCCTGTGGTTAAGCTAGATGTATAAAATTCTGAGCGTAATTTATCTAGTATTATTTTTATATAAATCTAATATTATTATTATTATATTAATCTAATATTATTGTTGTTGGTTTTAAGTAAACTAGGTCAACGACAGTTTGCAAACATAACAATAATAGTATTATAGATTTTGTATATTATAATATTAGCTTAAAAAAATAATAATGATGATGAAAAATGTTCTATTTAATTACCAATACGTTTTAATACTTCCTATTTCGATAAATATCCAAGGGGTTTACACAGAATAAACTAAATACAATATAAACATAAACATGTTATGTTTAAAGTATGTATTATGTATATATATATTAGTCTATATTGATATATATACATATATATCAATACATCGTATAGTCTACATGTAGTAAGTACCTATTGTTACGACCTACGTAAACATTTATAATTCTATGTAATTTCAATATGTCTTTTTTTAATATACATATTTGTGTGTGTTTAAATAATTTAATTTATGACATTAATCTCCCGGGACAATTATGAACGTATGATAATAATTTAGGGTTCCGCCAAATAATATGATATATTTTATCAGTAAGTTATTAATTATTGAAACTAGCTGTTATAAAAGTATAATATTACACCGAAATGATGTTCTTAGCTATATAGATAATAATACCATATTATTATTATGTATAAAAAAACTACGTTACAATAGTATAAGTTATATAACAATATTTCTTTCGTGTGTAATTTTGAAGGTTACACGTTTCCATAGATAAAACTGTTTAAATGTCGAATACTTATATTTTTTTAATCAATTGCTATGATAATATATCACTATCACTTTTATTATTAAATGCTAGTAGTAATAAATGGTACTACCTACTATAGTAAAACGTATTTTCTGCTTATTTATATTTCTAATAAATAGACACAATAACACAAGTAGTAGGTTATACCTAATACTTATTTGAATCGCGTGAACTTCAGTTCTCAGTCTTTTCCATTTACCTAAACAGTTTCATCATAACATTTAAATAACCGTAAATATCGTATAGGTAGATTTTTTCAAATGGTTTTTACTTAATTCTAATGCGTGAAATTATAATTAATACCTACCTTTATATAAATAGGTATTTTGTAAATATAAATATTTCATACATTGTCTACGGTGTGTCATCATAAAATTAAGTCTTAAATTTTAATATTTATTTTTTTTTTTTTTTTAATGTTCAATGTTAATGAAAACCGTTACATTTTATAACGGTCTATCGAGAAATCAATAGGTAACATGAAATGTTCATGTAGGCAGCAGAGGTAACAGTTAACGAACAACAAAAAAATCATATTCGATCAGGGATTCTGAATTCATTGTATGTAAACATTGTAAACGTAACTTAAATTTAGGATAGAGTCTTCTTAAATAATTAGACGTTTTGTCAATGTTGAATAAGAACAGTATACATTTATTTAGAATCAGAAGCGACTAACAGCAAGGTAGCCGTAGGACATGAACCATGATCAAAGTATATCCTGGGATAAACTATAAAATTCAATCAAAAATACCCAATGAATGATTTTAAACAATGCAATATGATTTACCTTAAATTTGATAAATAAATTATTCAAATTTCTAAAACCATAAGAACAGTTAAAACAAGAAAAACTTAAAAAGAACCTTGTATTATATTTTCAAACTAGGTATCTGACAAAGGAACAAAAATTGTATCAACATATTAAATTTGAAAATAGTTGAAAATTTTAAATACCTTTTTATAATAGTTAATGGTTATAACTTAAAAAGTACTATAATTATTATTACATTAATAGGTATCTTATACAGAGAATGATAATATAATACTTATAAAATACTGATAATGAAAAGTTTTTATAGCTGATATTATAAGATTTTATTATTGATATTTTAACTGTTATTTATAATAAGTTATAACTAACTTTAAAATAAAATACTATGAAAGCTTATAAAGTGTTCTAGTTACTATTCTTACGGTCTTACCTTTAAGTTTGTTAATGAGTAGGTAGTTTCATTCTAATTTACTCTAATTAGTTTACGACACAGACATGGTTCTACTAATTGCAAATTTTCTATATTTTGCCAAGCTCATGCGCAACCTAGGTATTTATAAATTGTTTTATTTATCTTTGCATAATTGCGTATTATTTTCGAAAATTTTTATTTTAATATGAGTATTTTACTTAAAATAAAGTTATTTAAGTACTATTTTGAAATTTCATTTTGCTTAATTCATTTTTAACTAATAGGTTTTAACTTAAACGTTATATTATTTAACTTGAAAATGTTATTAAATTACGCAACTGTTGCCCTACTACTGAGTAGGTAATGATTTAATTGGATCCTCTGTAAATTGTAAATACTGTAGACTTGGGCTTTTTCCTTAAATCATATTTTGGACAAGTAGATATCTACCATTTATATACTAAATGATCGTAATGATCATAGGTTTTTTTATTAAATAAATATGTATTAATAATTTGTAATATAACAAAACAATAATTAAATTTGATATTTTTTTTATACAAGATTTGGAGGCTTGAGTGAAGGAGACATCCATCGACACTACTTCAAAGTGATCATAGGTTACAACACTATTTTAGGCCCTGTATTACTTTTACTTTAATAATACAAATCAGATTTTACAACAATTTATATATTATATTTGTTTATTATCTTATCGACAATTTATTTTTTTAATTAGTTATCAACATTTAAATAAATAATAATAACAATAATAACATAGGTTTATAACACTTCCTTGTGTTATTCTAAATTTTAACTGATAAGACGTATTAAGTTAGTGATAAAAAAATTAAGCAACATTTCAAATGATTACAAATAATTCAATATTCTTTAAAATAAAATTGTTTTTTTATATTAATATTTAAATCATTTTCTTTGAAAATCGATACAATGGATTCTTCACTCTGAAAATTAAGAACTCATAATAGTAAGTAGATGTTTTTTCTTTAAAAATGTACATAATTATTATTGTGAAAAACTCAATCTTTAATCTGAGGATTATAATTAGGTACATAACTAGTACATAACTTTTAGCTTATTAAATTAAATGTCTATACATTTATTGGTCTGACAAGTGTGTCATATGCATACGTCATACATTACCTGCAAAATTTAACAAAACATGACGTGTAAATGTGTTATCAATAATATTGAGGTTTCTTTTAATAATAATTTTCCGTACTAACAATAAAGTAATGATTATAATTTTTGAAATTAAAAACTCCTTATCTACACTTGGTTTCACATTTATATATATTAAGCTTATGCATAATTTGCAGGTTACAAAAAAGGTCTAGACATCCCAAGTCTAAAACTGGTATTTATTATTAATTATATTGTTATTTGTTTTCAAAGAACTTATTCTAAGTTCTTAACGGTATCAATAATGTAGGTAGGTATCTATTACTAATAAATAGTATTCAATATTTATTAACATAACAATTTAAATCTGTTATGGACCAAATTATATTGTAAAAATAATTAAGTAGTATATATTCAAGGTTTAATTGTGACACCAAACTCAGATTTTTTTTGTGAAGAGAAATCTAAAATTTTTATTCCACCCACTTGCCCAAATTTTCTAGTTATTTAATATGTTATAAAAGTATATACTATTTTTTTTAAGATTATTTTATTTGAATTTTTACACAATATATTTTAAACTCATGACCCACCTACCCAATTAAAATGTGAAGTGATCGCTTTACATGAAATATGAGTTCAGGCCATTGAGTTTCAATTTAGTTAAGGTTGTTTATGTTGTGTATTATACATACTAATTTTTCTAATTAGTACTTGTCTTATTCCAGTATCTTTCTAATATTTTCTATTAAACATTTTCCTTAATATTGTTCCATTTACTTAAAATTTCCTTTGTCAGCTCTAATTAAAACACCTTTTCAAGGCCTTCATTGATCTCATGTGTCAGTATGCAGTACCAATTTTGAAAATACTATCATAATTAATCAAAGATATATTCCAACTGGCTAATTTTTCATCATCCTAAGTTTATTATATTTTATCATTTATTATTCTATAAACTACTCAAATAGATTCTCAAAATAATAGATATGATTTAATCATGTCTATATAACATATGATGACAGTATTCTTCATTCTAATCTACCAAAAAAAATTCTTGACATAATTAAACATTGTAATTATTTTTTTGTATTCTTATTACTTATCTTCTACTGCAAAAATTAGGTTTTTAAACATTTTTAGGATCTCTGGTATTGTTTTTAAGCATGAATCTATCTAGAATTAATAATTAGGTATGTACTACAAAAGTTATAACTTATAACCTACCAATGAATGGTTAACATTTATTTAAGTATATTTTAAAAATTGATTCCTTGCAAAAATATACATATCTAATAATTTGAATATTTATTATTGAATAAATAATATAATTAATAATAACATTATTATTTATTAATATTTTTATTGTTTTGATTATTGTAGATGTATTATTTTATTAATTATGATTATTTATATTTATAGATAGACAAACCACAAACAATGTTGGACATGAATTTGAAGGTGTGATTATAGCTTGTGTAATTTATAATGAAATTTAACCTATTGGTGATCAATAAATTAACAATTTTGGATGACAAGTGGTAAATTATTACGACAAAAAATCTGTAAGCAAATTCCTTCAAACTTATTTGATACTAAATTAAATTATACATATTTTGGTTATAAAAGTCAGTAAACAATTATGTTTGATATTTTATAAAGAATAAATAATTCATGAAAACTTATGTTATTATAAAAAGTTTATAAAAGTCAATATTTGAATAGTTTTAACAAGATCATAAATTTTCTATTTACAGATATTTGTCAAAAGCAGACATAGAATTTTTCAGCAAAAACTACTTATGGATTTTAGCATCTAAAAAATGGATTTTTAAAGCTGGTATTCAACTTGAGAGAATATTAAACCAAATGTTTATTGATGGTTTTTAACAATAATAATAGACAAAGGTCAGAAAGTTAATGAAAATACTTAACTCGAGTTAAATTAAGTTAAATAAACACATAGTTGTTAAACTAAAGGTTAATGGTTAACAATAAAGAAATTAATTTACTAAGTTTAAAGATAATAAAGAAAAAAATACCTATTAACAAAATTATTTAAAAACACTGTTTCTATTTTTTTAATTGTTACATAGTTCATATAAAGAGTATTTGGTGACTATGAAAATATTGTATTATTCAGAAACATATGATTATAAAATGTATTATTTTTATTCAAATTTATTTACATGACATGATTAATGATAAATCCATTTAATCTAAACTTTTTAAAAATATTATTACTATTAATGGTTTATTTTTAAATCAACTGAAAAAAATTGATTTATAACAAATGAGTTTCTAAGTTAAATAAAAAAATTTTTTTACTTCTTAAATTTACTTAAATTAGTTAATACCTTTAATTATAAGTAATAAGTACCTATGATTATTTTATTTAAATGTTGTGTCATGAACTAAAAATTAACTCAAATTGTTTATGATGAATTTTGACTTAAAAAATATAAAACTTATCAATATATTGTACATTATTATTTGTTTTATTTTTTGCAAATATATTACTCAATTTAAATTAATTTAAAAAATGTGTAACAAATAAAAACTACTAAGAGTAAATGTAATTTATCAATTTCAATTTATTTGAATAAAATAAATTTTTTGATTTAAGAATGAAAAAAACTTTTAATATAATAATTATTTGAAAAAAAATTATCAATCTATTTAAATCTTAAGAAAAAACTAGTTGCCAAGAGAATATTGAAAGAGTAAAAATATTAAATTTTCTCAAAATTCTTTGGTTTGGTTATTTCTTTAACTTTTTAATAATGATAATGTGTGGTTATTTAATTGAAATATTTTTTTATATCTCGTATTGTGAGAATACACTATATATTATGAATTGAGTATTTAATTTTAATATTATAAATTATAATATCATCTATTTACAACAATTATAAAATTTAATAAAAATTTCTTTTACTGTATAAAAATAATTTTTTAATGAATCTAGATCAAAATATCCAAGTTTAAAAATGTAGAAAAACATTTTAATTAATTAATTTTGAATTTTAAAAGATCAATAAACCCAAATAGTTTAACCATATATCCTGATAAAAATTAATATTTTCTCATAAAATAAACTTATTTATTAAATTATAAAATTGCAAGCATAAAACAAATTTTTTTAAATAAAAAAAGTATACAATAATTTTGTAAGTTGATTTAAGTTGATAATTTAATATTTGAGCTAATTTTATTAGAAATTAAACTATTTAAAAATTTGTATATTTGTTTGAATATTCTGTCTGTGCATATTTAGTTCTTAAATATTTTGACTACCATTTTTTATAAAACTTATTTTGTTAATAATTATTAATTATTTAGCTTTGCATGTTTTGACTAAATAATATAATGTTTAATGCATAATATTAAGTTATAAGTAATTAGCATGATATTAGTATTATTTTTCAAATATATAGATAAGTATTAACTTTATACTTATTTATACAATTTGAGGTTTTTACAAATATATACATAAATATAAATTTGTTTTAAAAATAAATCATATTAAATTTGATTAGATGTCCTACGGCTGTTGTTGAAGAAAAGAAAAACAAATACTATGCAAAACCTGTGGTGAATCTTAACAGAAAAATACCTCATATTCTGCCAAAATAAGAAAAAGCCATTAGAAGTTCAGATTACTTAAATGAAGCTCTAAACCCACAAGAAGAAAACTAGTTGAAGCTGTGTACTACGAATAAAAAATAGTTATAATAATTATAGTTTGTTAATACTATTTTAAAAAAAAAATAAATTATTATGAACTAAAAAAGTAAAAATTATGAATCTTATTTTGTTGTAATATATTAAATTATTAAAACTATAGATAGTCAAAATTATTATCTAATTATAAATATTTTAAAATAAAATAAATTTAATGATTGCACATGTAATATATATTTTAGGATAACAATTAATTTTAAACATTTTCTAATAATTACAATTTTCAAAAAAATTTAAATTAACTATTATTAATATACAATATATTTTTTTTAGATTAACTGAGGGTACTTAAATGAAATTTTTTTCATTAATAATAAATTTAAAAATGTCATTAATAAAATATTTTATTTCATAATTTATTCAATTTAAAATTTATTTAATTTTTTAATACAATTATTATATGATGTAAAATAATTAATACAGTACTTAAAAATTCTAACAATTTACCAAAAGTGACAATTTTGCAATTCTTGTTTCATCTAAAACATTAAGGCCTATATTCTAAATTTTATTTTAAATTAGAATGATGACTTATATAAATTTAGTTACCGTATGTAATTATGTTTAACTATATGTACTTAATTTTCTTTAAATAATTTTTGTACCTAAACATTGTATAAATTAATTTATATTATTTTTATTTTTATTGCATTTATTTATTCTAAGGATTAAAATAGTATTATTATTCTAAAATATCTTATCATTTTAGCAGCAATTTTTTCCAGTGTAATTATTATTTATATTGTTTTATATAAAAAAAACAATTAACATATTAATAAATTATTTGTTAAAATAAGTGACTTAAAAATATAAACTCATTTTAAAGTTGTATTTAATATTAAAATAATTGTCACAAAATATATAACACCATATACTATCTTATAAATTTCATAAAATTAATAATTTATAACTCAAAAATATTTTGTATTATTATTATCATTGTTTATAGTAATAATTATATAAAACTTAACTTAAACATTGTATTTCAAGTTTTGTTCAGTGTAAAATCCACTTGTAATTCAACAATGTTTAATTTTTTATCACATTTGACTCGAAGCAGTGCTCTAAAAGTTAAAATAATTATTGATAAGTTATAACTATAATTTAAAAATTTGATACAAAAGCTATTTTCTGATATCTACTAAAAAAACAGTCATTGAATTTCTGCCAATTTTTTATTTTTTACTTAATTTAGATTAAACAATCTTAAAATATTTTGTATAATAAGCTTAAGTAATACCATTACCAGAAGGTTGTTGCCAGAAGATATGGTGGAGGAGCCGCCCACTGGCAATACTTCTGGGATGCTTTTGGAAGTGCCAATTTAATCCAAAAACCAAATTTACTTAAGTTAATTATAGTAATAATTATAAATGTATTTCTGGAAAAATGTATTCTTAAGTATTATACATTTTTGTTAATTAAAAAAAAATAAGAATGATATAAATTATTAACTTATTCAGGTACTAATTTTTTTTTAAAATTATTTATAGTTTTTATTAATAATAGTTTTCTATAATATTTATAGATCAATACTAACAATTATAATTTACATTTTTTTTTTTTTAATTCAAATGCGAAATGAAACTTCTTATTTAATTTTATTTTTATTACGTAATAATATTAATTGAATTCATTGAAAGACTAATTCAAATTATTATATCTTTATTTTTTCAATATTTATTTTAATATTTCATTTATAACTATAGTGAATGGGTAAAAATAAATTATTAAAATAAATATTATTCATATTTTGAACAATATAGATAGGTAGTCTTAATGTACTAACTTACAAATGGATGAAGTATTAGGTACTATATTTGTGTTATCTTTGTATTTGCTATTATTTCTAAAATCTAAATCAAACTTAAAATATTAGTATTATATTTATTTAGTATGTTACTAATACATTACTATATTAGTTGATCTTATATTAGAGTATTTATCTTCACTAAATACTAGGAATTTAAATCAAAACTATAGAATTCTAAATTAGTATATTTATTCAGTTATTTACATAAAATGTTCAGTATTTGTTTATGACTTTTATAAACATATATTATAGTTGTATTAAATTCTTTTAATTTTATTAACTAATAATTATTAGTTATTACTTATTACTATTAACAATGATTAAATTTGATAGTATTAAGTATATTAATAACCAATATAAATAAATAAAAACTATTATATTTTGTATTTTAAAATAATTTTACATAAAGAAATAATGAATAAACTTGGGTGTAGCCAATGATATGTATATTATCCAAATCTTGCTCCATGTGTATTCGTGCTGAAAAAATTAGAGCTAAATAAGTAATATCTATTTCAAATTAAAATTGATTGTTTAAGATTTAAATGATTATATTTCAATAATATTAACTATTAAGAATCTCAATTATATTATACAGCATAATATTTCATCAATAATACTATCTTTTAGTATTCTATCATTTTAAAGTATCTAACTATTTAAATAATTGTTGCTTTGTGTGTGTGTGTGTGTGTACCATATTAACACAAAAAAATATATCAAACATAATGATGATTTCCTTAATTGATCGATTAGTAGATCACAATTATTATTATAATATACTCCTTACAAAATATGAGAAATAGATCTTAATAATCTGAACTAAAAGTTTGCATATCACTAAAAATTTACTATTTAGTTTAAATATTTGCTTTAAGAAAACACAAATTATAACTTATTGTTATATTATCATATAACATAAACAATATGTACTTGAAAAAAATATTTATTTTTCATGTTATTGGAAAGAAGCTTATGAACATTTTTATTTTAATCTTGAGTAATATTCTAATAATTTATAAAAAAAAATAATTAATAATTGTACTTTAATTTAATTATCATCATTGTTATTAAATTGATTAAAAATTAAAATTTTTGAAAATACTTTTAGAGGATTGTACATTCAAATCATAATGTGAAGTCTGTCAAACATATAACGTTGTGAATTTTCATTTACCAGAACTTTTTTTATGTTAATATTAGATCTATTATCAAACATAAAAGAAAGAATATTATTTAGTGTCTCATAGTTATATTTTTTATTAATAATTTAATTTTAATGTAAATTATACTCATGACTAGTTTCATAGTTAAAATATTAATAAAAACCTACAAGGCGAGTGACCTAAATAATATTCTTATTGTTAAATTGTATTTTGTAAAAGTTCACAGACTCACAGTAATATTAGAAAATTAGTTCTACACTTCTACTGAAAGCAAATTTGTTATGTATGTTTGTAAGACGAAGGTAACACAGTAACACAATATGCAATACATACTGCTTAGTGGCGACTTGTGGCTTTGACGACGGGACGATCGCACACTCCACTAAAATTAATTAAAAGAAGAAAATTAATGTTTATTCTTAATTCTATATTTTTAATAAAACTGCAATTTTTGAATTTCTATGTAGTATAATATATTTTGTCATGTGCGAACATTAAATTTGTTTCCCTCCAAGGGCGCTTATATGGGGGTACAAGGGAGGGACATGCCCGCCTTGGAAAATGTTGGTGTGTCTGTAATATTTTATTTATGATCACATATAAATATATAATTATATAAATAAACAATGAACAAGAAATACGGAAACGGAAAAAGTATTTTTATACAATATGCCCGGCAGTCGGTATCCAGTACTTATTATCCAACGTATGACATTGTTTAGTGTTCTCTATTGTAGAACAATATTGTTGAAATATTAAACTAAAATTTAGTTATTCTCTGTAGATTGTATATGTTACTAGCAATGTGTTGAATCCGGTATTATTTAAAAATCCTAGGTATTCTATACAGTGGCGGCTCATGTATGCTGATGGTGGGAGTATGACTTTAATATAATACCGCTATAATCATAAATATAACAAACTGTCAAGTTAAATAAAGAAGAAAAATTAACATTTATTAAATTATGAACACTATTTGACATGTTGTCTATTAAACTATAATTTGAAATAATTAAAATAAAAAAGAATACACTTTTTAATTATAAGTTATAAGACGTATGACAACAATCTGCTTCTTACTAATCGCAGGTATCGGCAGTATCGCAAGTAGAAGTATAATAAATAAAAATGAAAATAATATGAAATAATTTACATTGTCACAGATGACGTTACCAGTCGTCCAAAACGCGTATTTACTATTTAAGACCGCAGTTGAAATGTGCACACATGCCTATACACACGATTATGAATTATGATTTATGACTTTATGAGCCTTTGCTTATTCTAATATAGATAATAATAATTTTTTTAAATAATAAAAATGTTTACAAATAATAATCGACAATAACAATAGCGATTAGCAACAATAGCAACCGACAATGACGAGCATACACACAGTTAATTTTAAAAATAAATTACCTATTATAGCATTAAACAATTTAATTTATAATAATATTTTTTGTATGGACGATGCTGTCGGTCGTCCAGACCCCGCAAGAAGATCGCAGCTTAAACGTACCCACACGCACACGATTGCAGTGCCTTCGATTATAATTTACGTTTCAGAACAATTATTGCTTAGACGACGCTGCCGGTCGTCCAGACACTGCTCGTGTGTGCATGCGTACTCTATGTTCTTGGTATCTGAGGGAAACAAATTTAATGTTCGCAGTTCGTACACGACAAAATATTACTAAAAGATTGCAGTTTTAATAACAATTATTTTTTGAAAATATAGAATTAACAATATAAATTTTCTTCTTTTAAATAATCTTAGTAGGGGGTGTGATCGTCCCATCGTTCAAGCCACGAGCCGCCACTGATTCTATAGATTATAGAATACCAAAAATGAGCAGGAAAAGTATATAAATATAAAACTTAAATTTGTACCTAGTGTATCTCTGTAATCAACGATTAATGTTTATCTTGACGATTATGCTATCGCATACAACACGTGTGCGATGTATTATCGTTATTATTATAGCTAATCATATAATCATGTTATTCATGTACACGGGAAAATTCAATATACGTCTTTAAAAATATTATTT